TGCTTCTCCCTCTGACCCTCCTGACCCTCCCCCCTCTCATGTGCTCTCTCTCTCTCTCAAATAAATAAATAAAATCTTTAAAAAAATAAAATAAAATAAAATTCCTTTCTCCTTTGCTGTGGTTGGCATGTTGTGCGGGGTGGGAAGCAGTGGCTAAGAACACAAACCTTGGGGGGTGCCTCGGTTAAGCCGGTTAAGTGACTCTTGACTCTTGGTTCGACTCAGGTCATGATCCCAGGGTTGTGGGATTGAGCCCCGTGCTGGACTCCGCGTGGAGTCCCGCTTGAGATTCTCTCCCTCTCCCTCTGCCCCTCCCCCACTCACGAGCACACACTCTCTCTCCCTCAAGTAAATAAATAAATAAAATCTTTAAGATAAAAAACACAAACTTTGGGGCCACATGGCCTAGGTCCTGATCCCTGTTCCACGGCTTACCCGTTATGTGACCTTGGCAAGTCACTTTAGCTCTTTGCCTCAGTTCCCTTATCTACAAAATGGGGACAATAAAAGTACCCATGTCAAAGTTGTAACAAAAATTGAAGTACTGTATGTAAAGTGCTTAGAATAGCCCTGGGACATAGCAAGTGCCATATAATGCCATATAATGCTATTTCATTTATATCGAGTTTTTTACTTAACAAGTCGCTCTGCATATCAGTGAATATAAATCCTGTTATTCTTTTTGGTGGCTATATGGTATTCCATTATAAGAATGTGCCTTTGTGTTTAACCAGTCTTGTGTTCTTGCTAGTTATTGCCTTTTTTTTTTCTTTCTAAGATTTTAAGTAATCTCTATATCCAATGGTGGGGCTTGAACTCACAGTCCCGAGACCACGAGTCTCATGCTCCACCGACTGAGCCAGCCAAGCATCCCACTAGTTATCTCCTTGTGATAAATTCATAGAGCTGGGGTCGATGGGGGCTCACTTTTAAAGGCTTTTAGATATGCATATACATATTTCCAAATTATATCTTCAGAAAGAGGAGCCAGCATGCCCACCTGGCAGGGAAGGCTCTGTTTACTGGGACCATGTCTAAAAGAATGTTGTGCTTTGCTGTGCAGCTTCATGTTGTCGCCTGGGCATAAACAGAATTTGGAGAACAATGGAGACCATAGACTTTGTTGTTAAACTTGAAGGGCTGAGACCGGCACAGCTGTTGTGAAGAGCTGCCCCTTTAGAGGCCAAAATGCATGTCAACAGCCAGGGATTCCCAAACAGCCTTGTCACTGTCACCACCTTGGCCTCTCTCTTCTAGTCAAATTCAAAGAAGGAGTTGTTCTGTTTATTGCTTTTGCTTGTTTCTGTCCTAACTTTCCCTATGTTTCCACTGAAAATGTAATTCATGGAAAAATTTGCACCTGGTGAAAAACAGTTTAGAATGAGAAGTACATCTCCCTCCTCCCCTAGACCCTGGTCTTCTCCCAGAGGCAGCCGATGTTAACAGTTCTGTGTGTATGTGTGTTCTTCTAGAAATATTCTACGGCTGCGCAAACATAAGCTGTGTCCTTACTGTTTTTCTAGGAATACAGTGTCCTAAAGCACTGTTATGTGCTTTGCATTTTTCACATAACAGCCTAAAAGATTTTCATGTATGTCTCCACTTGATATCTGAAGGATATTTGGCATTCATACCCTTTCAATGTTGAAAGAGCAGGTGATTATATGATTGGACGGGATGCTTCTCCTAATGTTTAGGGGGCAGTTATTTTCTGACCAGCTGCCAAACCTCTCTAACAAAGTCCTACAAAAGTTAATTGAAACAGGGTCACCTGGGTGGCTCAGTCAGTTGAGCATCCAACTGTTGATTTCGGCTCAGGTCGTGATCTCAGGGTCCTGGGATCGAGCCCCGTGTCAGGCTCTGCACTCAGCAGGGAGTCTGCTTGAGATTCTCTCTCCCTCTGCCCCTCCTGCTCGTGCTCTCCCTCTCTCTCTAAAACAAATCTTAAAAAAAAAAAAGAAAAAAATTATCTTTCTCCCTCTGCCTCCTGTCCATCACCGAATGCAGACCAAACCCGAAGCAGAACATGGCGGGACATGGCACTTCAATATCAACGGCTTGATTGACTAGCTGTGGGTCACTGAAGGGAGGCAGTCCCCGTTCTGGGCCCCAGTTTCCTCGTTGTTTAGATGCAGAATTAGGTTATAGGATCTTAGGTGAGCCTTACAAGGTCAATGCCTTGTCTCATTCCCCACTGTATTCTCCACTCCTAGAAGGCCCAGGAATGCCGAGGGCTGATGAATTCGCACTCCCTTCCAGGTCCAACACCCCACCCTTCTCTCTGTCATCTCCAACATATGCAAGAGTCCTCCAGCAAGAACACCTGGGCTCCTCCGGGATAGCAGTCCCTAACCTCATGGAGTTCATGGTCACTGACAGACCCAGGAAAGGAAGCCTTCTCAGAGTCGGTTCTATTCCTCCACAGCAGTAAGCTGGCTAGCTTATGTATCTGCATTGTTTGCTTGTTTGTTAAGTGGCCCATTTCAATGCCAGGGGAGGTGTCTCAGGCTGGCATTCTCAGCCTGCAACTGTCGGACCTCACCACCCAACTCTTGAGAGCCAATGACCGCTACAAGTTGTATGTATAAATTGTGCTAAGTGTTTAGGTGTATCATTTCATTTAATCCCCACACGTACTTTCTGAAGTGAGCACATGTTATCATCTCAGAGAGGCTAGGTCACTTGGGCAAGGTCACACAGCTAAATAGAACCGCAAACCCACTGTGTCACTCCTGTGCCATGAGCAGGGGGATTTTGTGAGGGGCTGGGTTCACTTCTCACTTTGGCTTTACCTATAAATTATACTGCGGGACCAGGGGCCAGTCCCTTCTCTGGTCTGCAGTGTTCCCATTTCAACAGTGAGAAAAGATATCCTCTCGAAGACTTGCAGAGCTCTGCATGTTAGAATTCTGGGGTGTTTGAGCTATTTTGATGTCAGGAGACACATACATGGCATATTGAAAAGGTTTTAACTGAAGGGTGGCTAATGAGGGGACTGGTTACCAAGATGTGGGGACCCAGTAAAACATAGTGAGGGCTCGGGGACCAGCAACACACAAAGCCATTACCGCCGCATGGCCTGGAGGCTCCAGGAGAGGCATTGCAGTTAATGGAGCTCAGCCAAAGCTGCAGCAGTGGGAGAGAAATGGCTGGGAGCTGTGGCCTTCAGGAGAGAGGGGCAGCCACTGCCAGAACCCAGAAGTGGCGCCTAGGCCATCCCCCACCCCCAGCCTCACGTGTCTGCTCCACCCTGCACACCTAGGAGTGGCGACTGGGCAGTTGATCATCGCAGGAGGGGTGCCATGTGTTCACTCCCAGGGCACAGAGCAGGCTGGTGTGTGTAGGAGGCAAGCAGAGAATAGCCAGCTCGGGGACTTTGCTGGACTTGCAGCCCATCCTTTGAGGGAGGAGTGCAGTTACAATGGACAGGCACCTGCTGAATGGGGCGAGAGCAGTAAGAACCCTCCTGCTGCCTGCCACGGGACTGAGGGAGCAGCAGGTACCCCACGGCCCAGGCTTTTCTTTTCAAAACAGGCTGCGAAGCGAGCAGGCTCAGTCCTCCTCTGATTCATGTGGGTAGTTCTGATGTTTCTGAATCACAGTCAACGTTTCCCAGGATCCTTTCCTTCATGATGCATTTAGCTGAATGACTACTGCATCTAGAATTTCCCTAGAAATAAATGTCCTTGCTCATTGAGAATTCGTCTTAGGCTCTTGATTCTACAGAGAAAGGGATTCTGGGCCACTCCAAACACTGAGTAAGAGGGGTTAGTAGAGGAAGAGAAATAACCATTTATGGGGGGGGGAATGACACAATCTGTGACTGTTAGCCCAGAGTGACTTGCCGAATGGTTTCTGGGAGCTGTCACCTTCTGGTACATACCCTGCTTGCCGGCCTTCGTGTCTCTCTCACGGTACTGTGACCCAGGCATTGCTTCAGGGTCTGGGGCTGCCGGGTGCCTTCACACCCAGCCCCATGTGTCCGCTCCACAGTGCATCCCCTGCATGCTGGGCAGTTGGCGGCTGAGGATTTGGCCCAGGCCTCTTTCAGCAAGCATTCCAGCGTGGTTGTTTCCAAACATGCAGAGGGCACGCTGGGAGCACAGTGCGGCATCTCTCCCTACTCGGGAAGGGAGGATCAATCGTCAGACTGTCTGGAAAACAATCTGTCAGTACATATTAGGAGCTTTATTTATTTATTTTTAAAGATTTTATTTACTTATTTGACAGAGAGCACAAGCAGGGGGAGCAGCAGAGGGAGAGGGAGAAGCAGGCTCC